TTGTCGTCCGCTGCCAATACAATATATAATTGAGGAAAGTAAAATGGAGATATAAATGTTCTTTCTCCAAGCGTTTGATGCTGACAGCTTCTCGCCTCCAGCCTTCCTGCACCTCAGGAGCTCGGAAAATGACGACAAGAAGTGAAAGCAATGAGCGCTGGCACTGCATTACTCGTGGCGTGGCTTTTCCACTCAGAACAGTGGTTGCTTTTCATCATTATGAAGACTAATTGTCTGATTTTGGGGGACTGCCTTGGAAGCAATGCAGGGGCCCGATTTAACTGAGTGTCACATAGAGAGAGGGAGACAGTCTGTGGCCCAAATGTCTCGCACAACAGCCACAATGTGAGAGAAAGGGAAGCATTATCCTTGCTGTATTGCTAAGACACCAACTTCAGTAATGACGAGACATCAGAGACAAGCACCTTTCCCCAGGTTTCACTAAGCGTGCACTCAAGTTTTCCAATTTCCTTTCACTAAACTATACAAAACTCTCTCCACAACAATAAATTACACGTGCCCGGGACCATTCCCTGGAATGGAGGCCAACTGGCACAATTATCCCCATCCATTTGGTTGCATTTTATTACGCAAAATTTGGATGCAGAATAGCTGCATCCAGAATGCCCACTGGGAAATCCCCTGGCCCATTCCCACTCGTGAGCAGTGCCGAGGAATTTGTTGAGCTTTTCAGCTGACATGGGCCAAACCTGTACCTGTAAACCTCCAAACGATTTAGCACTACAGATGATCAAGGTCCGGTTCACGGGAATACTCACTGGTGCTGTTTAATTCAATACCACAGATGCTGCCAAAAGTACTCCCTCAGACAGCATCTTGCACTGACATTCACAGGGTAAGTTTTTTCAATACTCTCTTAAAACAGCAGTAAATAGAAGCAGAGGAAAGCAATGTGAATAAACCAGGCTCATCCACTATCTCAAGGATAGAAGAGTGGCTCATTATTTTAAGAACACAGCCTAAATAGCATCTGGCTTCAACCCTAACGTTCAACTGGAATTAACTTTTTCCTTTACCATAATAAACAAGCAGAAGGTGTGTGGGGTTTTTTGTAGTTTTGATGTTTTGGGTTTTTTTAAACTTTTTACTTTTAAATACAAAAGGGAACAAAAGATACTAAGTTTCTACAAAGAGACAAGGCACTATCAGAAGTGTAGGATCTAGTAACAAGAAGTGGTTGAAGAAATGGAGACAGAAAACAGGAAGGGCCATCAAGTACCTAAGGACAATTCACAAGTGAAGCGATAATGTCAGCACAGCACTTTTTGCCATCAAAATACTTGATCAGAAACACTTCAGTCCTTCAAACAAGAGGACATTACAGCAATTAAGAAGTGACAAGTGAACACGTATCTTGAAAGATAATGCGTGAGCAGGCAGTTAATTTGGAGGAAGGAGAGATGGGAAGAGATCTCCAGGCCCATCATAAACTTACCGAGCTCCACATTAAACAGTAAGGGCTTGGCTGGTTGCTTTCTACTTTCTTTATTGCCATTGGAAGGCTGTTGCAGAACCCAGATCTTCTAAGCATTAAGGGCTTTCTTCCAGTTTTCAGCTTAAATTTACTCAGGGCCAGATGGTACACATTTTTTCTGGTGCCCGCATCTTTAAGATTAAACAACTGTTCTCCCTAAATGGTATTTCCCTCTTCTGCATTTACAGGAGTCACCCTACTGTTCTTCCACTTGCTTTCCTAGCCTAAGCAAATCAAGCTCTCCTGCTGTCACCAAGCATGTCCATCTCCTATGGTCCCAGAGATCCCTGTAGCTCTCCTCTCCGGTTATTCCAGGTGGAGTTAATCTTTCTTGTACATGGATGACCAGCAGGGCAACCAGGTCAGATGAGCTGTGCTCTGTTCAACGGCATTAACTCTTCTCTACAGTTCCTGAAAACACTTTGCCTGACACACTGCAGTATAGAACTTTGTTATGCCCACATCACACTGATGGCTCTCAGCTGCTCTCTTGTGTGTCACTTTAGTTACCTGTGAGTCTTCTTCCCCCTCCTCAGTTTTGGCCAACTGGAGAACACCCAGCTTATGGCTGTAAAATTCTTCCCCCTCTTCTAAATACCTTCTTGGTGGTCTCAGCTTTCTGCCCTTCAAATAAGTAGCTTAGCATAACAGGACAAGGATAGGGCTGTTTTTTCCCCAAGTAAGCAAGTACTTAAACTGTTTATTTAAATACAAAAATTAAGAGGAAGGAAAAAAATGACAGCTAAGTGGAAAGTGAAAGTTTAATTTGGTGCTTAAACAACTTGAATACTTATGCTGCAGCTAGCAGAGGGCCTTAGATGTCTGATCAGGACAGAAACAAAAATCCTTCCACTAAGGTTTCAAATTACAAAGTAACTTCATCTAAGGAAAAACAAAATGTACATTCGCAAACACTGCCATATGTTTATAGTGCCTTCTCAGCACAACAATGTTTCTCTTATGGCATTAAGAACCTACTGGTATGAAAAATTAAGAATTTTAAGTGTTATTTTAAAGCAATTTACAGTTAAATCAACAGTAGTGAGAAAATAGCACACATATTTGACTTGCAAAATGGGAGGCTATTCGTGACTTTCAATAGCTTTTAGTACTGATGAAACTTAAAACCATCTCACTATTTGGGAATGACGTACTTTATTAGTATTGGCCTGGTTAGAAACTCAGCAGGCTGGCTTGTTCATCATTGCCATTTTTCAGTCAGAGGAAAGAATGAACTGAGGAAGAACTAAGCAGAAAGAAGGCCAACAGGTATCAGTTTCAACTAACTTTTACCTGGGTGCAGAATTAAGCTTCGTTCTGAAAAACAAAAATTGCACCTCTATCAGTATATTGCCTACTCCAGGAAGTATCTTTTTTCCACCCTTTGCTTCACTAGAAAGCTTTTTGTCTCAGATGGTTTTCTTCTGATGCAGAAATGTGAAAGTATTGAGAGACTTGCACATTTGTATAGCAAAGCTGTTGCTCACTTAGCTCTGCAGTTGTGAGGGTAGATGCTGCAACGGTCACGTTCACCAGCGAACAGCGTTTGTCTTTGCCCTATGCCCTACAACAGATCACAGGTAAGCCAGGTCATGAGAAAAAATTACAACTTCCAGGCTGCGTAAGTAAGGACACCACTAGGGGGGTCTGCAGGTCAGAAGCCCAGTGCTGGTGCCACACCTCAGGTTCTTGATGCAATGATAGGTCAACACAAGAGGCTTAAAAGTGGGGTGGTTATTGTTAGAATGCCAGAAATAAAGGAGAGATATGGCCTGTGTGGGACTTAAAAAAAAGAAAGGAAGATCTTACTCTCTCCATATTACATTTGCCAAAATGAAATGTAATACGTAAAAAGCAATCAAGACAGGATTGACACCTACCAACAAATAAAATACATTTCCTGGAATGATTCCGGAAATCATGTAATCCCTGTCCTAAGGAATCTATCTGCCTTGAAGATTCAAGACAGTCAGTGGCATTTCAAAGGTAAAAGTGTTTCTGAGGTGGTTCATCATTTAGTTCATTTTAGTTCATCAGGTTGTGCTGGGTAGAAGAGCCAGAGTTAAATTGAACTTTCACATGAAGTCAAGGAGAGAAGAACACAACAAATCATATTTAGCACGAATTGGTATATAGTTGACAAAACAGTAATCCATTTGGCATGACAGACTTGTCATGATTTGGATGCTGCTAACATCTCTGTCAGAAGCTGTCGTTACTTTACGAGCTACTGTTATACTCAAGAAATAGCCAGGCTTCATTGACAAGAGGACTGGAGTGAGACCCCTATGAATTACTATGCTCATTGACTCAGTCTGCAGTTAAAAAAAAAAAAAAAAAAAAAAAAAGCACAGCACAAAAGGACCTTCTTCAGAAATGAAATGGCTCTATAGATAAAACAATGGATTAGATTAGTTTCTAATCAGTTCTTAAGTTCTCTGTCCTCTGCTCTGACAGGTGTTGATTCAAGATCTCTCTGTACTCAGAAACTCTACATTTGGATAGCCCAGCAGGAGCAGCTGGGGATGGCAGACAGGTAGACCAAGGCCTATTACTTGCTCTTCATGTTAAGTCAATAAATCTTTAAGGGGCATAGAAGTTACTCCTCTGATAGCAAAAGCAGAACAGGATGAAGGGGTTTGCAATTTTTAGAACTGGTCTCCCATATATCATAACTACGTAGCACGAAAAACTTTATTTTGATCACATTTCACAGTTCCTTCATAGCCAGAAGGAATTTCATTACAGGAATTTTCATACCACTATACTGGCAAAAAGGTATACATGCCTTTTTATCCCTTTTCATCCTTTTACACTTGTTCCATAAAACCACTTTCCACTCTCCAGCTCACGATCTCTCTAAGCAGAAAAGTCCTATCTGCCACATACTTGTCATAAACTAGGTAGGATATGACAAAGTTTCAAATACATCAGTATTTATAAAATTAGAAACTTTAAACTGCAAAAAAGGGGGAAGAAAAAAAAAAAAAAGAAAAAAGGGTGGTGGGGAAAAAAACTATTTTCTACCTTGACTGTTAGGTTCTTAAGCTGACAGTATTTAACATTAATGTCTCTGTATTTCAAGGTCATGACTGTAACAGTTCTGCTATTTGTGAGTATCAGTGAGAGATTATCTCTGCCTTTCACCAATTCAGGCGCTCCACCCACACTTATTCACAGATTTGTTTGGGGTTTTTTTTATATGTTTAAAAGGTTAGAATCTGCCCCTCCAAGGTATAATGGGCAAAAGAGCATATTTTAAGTGAAATTAAATTACTCTTCTCTTGATTTAAATACAAAAAGTTAGCTCCGGCAGTACATTCATCCACAAGAACGTTAACACCTCCAGCTTCATAGACACCCATAAATCATTTTTGTAAACAGTAAGTTACTAAACATAGTACAGCGCTCTATGAAAGAGAAAAAGAATGCACACAATCAGCATTTTCCTTTTTGACTAGAAAATGAAAATCTCTAACAGCAGATAAGGTGGAATTAAAAAAACCAATCAAATCTGGACCCCAAATGGGATATGGGTATATCTGGACTCGACTCTTGAAAGCAATCATGCACTAAGGAAAAGTTTAGAAAGTTGTTATGCAGAGGTCTAACTAGAGTCTTGGCAACCTAATTTGGGACATAAAGTTATTTGCGCTACACGTGCAGCAAAGTACCACGTGCAGTAAAGAAAACTGGTATCACAGTTCGATTTCAACGCCACGTCCTCAAACAAAATGAGGATGCTACATTTAAGTAACATGGATGGAAATCTCACCTGCCATCCCGAAGTTAAGCTGTGGCATTTCTTCGCTTTTTGTCACTTTTCTTGGGCTTGGTAAATCTTTTGCAGAATCTGTTGCAAAGGCCCATAGTTTTTTCCTGTTTGTAACAGCAGGTGTCTGAGTTTTCACAGGTTTGTTTGTTGTGGGGCACCACTTGTACCCTGGATTTGCCTTCATAAATGCATCCTTGTACTAGAAAAGAAAAGGAAAATTACCAGTCATGCCAGTCATGACATTATACTGTCCACAGGGCAATAGAGTACACCGCATGTAAGAGGATTTAATACAGTAAATAATCCTTAAATATCTTTATTTTTTAACAGTTTAATCACATGCTTAGAGTCTGACCACCAACACAATCTATTAAGAAGAAATATTAAGATAAGTAGAGCTCTATTTTAAAAAGTGGGGTTTCTCTTTCCTCTCCTGAGGGTTTATCACCCAGAGCAGGCTGAAGTTCTGGTCCTGCAAACTGCTCCCCAGTGATGGTATGCTCACTCTCTGGGAAACAGGCAGCTATTTGAATTCTTTTGCAGGTACAATCTTTGTTTACTTTCTAGTTTGAATGAAATGAAAACATATATTTAGCAACAAATGCAGCATGATGCTCCTTACCTCGCACTCATTTTTCTCTAATAGTTCTGTATTTCAGAATATTTGAGTATATGCTTTCCCAAACCAGGCACCGAAAATAAACCACTACCAGTATCATCTCATTTTCAGTGACTTCTGATACATCATCCCAGCATTCCTTCCAAAATGTACCATGGTGCATGACTGCATAAAATAAACTGGGACCATTTAAAACTTTCTTTGTCCTTGAGCACACAGCATGCATTTAAGTTGTTTGCTATATTCTTGGTATGAGGCAGCAAAACGAACCAAGCCAGACTACACATGGGGGGTGGGGGGAAAAGGTCTAGATCCTACAGAGTTTGGGGGGTAGGGGGAAGGATGGTGACCTGTTTTATTCACAAAATGCAATAGTGACGTTTTCCAAGTATCTTGCTGACCAGACCAAACCAAGATTTTTGAATTTTAACAGCAATAAAAAGAGCACATTTCAGTATTTTAAATGTGTTGCTATGCAAGGTGGAGAACGGGTGAATCAGAGGAACATGCCACACATTCCAGCTGCAAATGTTTGCCTAACAACTGATAGGGGTGTATAGCACTGGCTGCTGTGGGAGCCTACCCAGTAAGTACTAGTGCTGACCACAGGGAGAAGGAACCCAATACCTCCTCATGAACTCAGGCAGCTCTCGATGGTGGCAAACGACCAAAAGAGCAGTTTTATCCTGAAGTACATGTCAGGGCAGCTGCAGGAAGTTTCTTCCGTGATAACACGTTCCCACCCACCCAGCTGTCATCGGTCTCAGTTACGGCACAGAGAAGCACCTATGTTTCATGCACATGCCCACACAGAAACACAGGCAGAGGGGAAAAAAATCCCTTGGGTATCAAACACAGAAATAGCACTGAAAACCTTGTCCTCTGATAGAGTCACTGCAGTGTTTTCCCAGATGAATAAGCGGCATGCCTTGTGGCAGGATCACCATCGCATGTGTATCGCTTACTTTCGTTTCCACCTTAATCTATCAGCTGGTACTTGCTACCTCCAGACTGTTGCAAGGATGAAAACAATTCAGTTTACAAGAAGCACAGCACCGTGTGAACCCACTGTGTGAAGTCCTGTATTTATAGAAATGGCTATAAATAATAAAAATCTGCAGGGACCGCTGACCCACATACACATTGTATTTTCTGAATAGGGTGTATGTATTAAATCTGCAAACTAGGGACTGTGACACCTCTCACCTCGCGCCTTTTCCCTTTCCCTCAGTTTGGTTTGGGAGCGCAGTACACCACAAAAATAGCCTGGTGGAGGGAAGGAAAGGGGAGGGGGTAAGAGAAGAGGCAGAAAGGAAATACAGAGAGAAGCAGCTTTGCCTTCCATTGTTAAAGCCACAGCCCACTCACAAATCATGTTTCCAGCCTGCAGAGTGAAAAGCACAGAATCACTAGCAATGAGGTACATAAGCTCTTCATATCAGCATTGCTGCTTTGAGTAATTGAATTATTCTATGGAGTAATTTGACAAGCTGACAGGCTGCCCATCAAATGAGAACCAGAACGCATGCCATTTGCAAGACGAGGCAGCAATAAGCTTTTAATCAGTTTCCAACAGGGGCAATTCAAGTGAGATGGTGTATTAATGGATTTTTTTCCTCTGCAAAGCCAAGAAGTGAACATCAACTGCACTATCCGAAGGGGACGGAGCAAATTGAGGAAGGACAATTCATTGGCCCCTTTCACATATTCAACACTCAAGATAAGCGAAAAAGAAAATGTAAAAAGTTAAACAATGGCCAAGAAGTAGTTTTATAAAATGCACAGAGGGGCCTGATCCAAATCTCAGAAAGACTTTCAGTATTGATTTTTGTAACTATTAGACTAAGGCCTAAAATGAAATGATAGATTCTACTTGCCAGGTCACGAGAAGATAACTTAAATGCGCTACACAGTAATGAGAAAATGTCAAAGACAACAGTGGAGCTTACTGTTTTCCTTCATTCGACCAACTGTGCAGTAAACCAACACAGCCAGTCTAAGGACGTCCCTAAAGTTGCTCGGGGCGGGGGGAGGTAAGTCCTTAACCTGGAATGCAAAGACACCGCCTTGGTTCCCACACATGAGTGGCAGGGATGGCCTGGCAGGGTCATGTCCTGAAGTTCCAAGTAAGATAAAAAAAAACCACAGGATATGTTTGTGGGATCGGTCTGATGTCTCGTTTCTGTTTTGTGAAAGCCTGGGGAAGGATGCCTTATGCAGTGGGACCAGTGCCACTTTAGAGCTGAGGTTAAGAAAGGTGCTGCGCTTCAGTGCAACTCCCGGAGTTGCTTTCATCACCAAATAAAAAAAAGATTTGCTTTCTCCAGTGTGGTGGGAACAGGAGCTCGCAAGTGAATTCCAGATACACCTCAGAGCAGCAGTTAGAACGTGCTTAACTTTAAATGTATGTTTAAATCCCACCAACTGGCTATTAAACGTCACATGAAACCCAGAGACCTAACCAAAAAAAAAAAAAAATCCCCAGAAAATACTGCACTCCGTTTTTCACTCCTGAGGGACGCAGGGTTCACATTACATGTTACGGTCCATACGTCACCCAGTGAACTTGCCAGACTCCAGCCAGGAAGCCAGGACACTTGTCCCCTCCTACCCCCAGGCAGCTGCCAAAGCAGCACCATAGCAAGGACAGCAAGCTCCCAGTTGGGCTGATTGTACCTGCGAAACCACCGGCCGAGCACTCGTGGAGAGAAGCGTTCAGCTCTGCCACTGAATGGCAGCAGCAATCCTGACTGCCTGGATCTTGCCAATGCAAAGATGTATTTAAAAACAAATGTGTTTTCTAGCACGGGAAACAAGGCTTGAACAATAATAATCTCACTGGATATTTTCCAAGGCAGCCGAATATTCCCAGTAAGCCCTGTAAGAGTTAACAGAAGAACACTACCCCTATTTATTGTAGTAACTAAAACTGCTGGAGCATATTTATGAGTGGCCAAAATTCCTTCTCCCCTCAGTGAAGAGAAATGCTAACAAACGGCAGGAACGCTTGTGGTTCCACTTGGAACTATTTATCAGCTACTGGGCTTAAATGCTCTAGAATGAAGCTTTCAAAGTTAAGTTGATGTACAAAGTTTGTAGGATACAAACAGAAAGCCTGCTCCTACAGAAGACACCAGCAGAAGTGGACACTGAACTCTGCAGGCACAGTATGAAGTCTCTGGGGTAGGTGTTGCTACAACAGACCACAAACCACAAGACTGAAAACAGAGAGAACATGGGGGCAGTTTTTCTAGGAAATTAAGGCACTCCAAGGTACAGACAGGTACATAGTAGGATTTTCCAGAAGTGCCTAAATGAACCATAGACCTGATCATCCTCTCAGTGGGAATCACGGATAGATGTCCAGCCCAATAGAAAACTTCTCATAATTCCACCTGGCAAAATGTTCGGGTGCCTCACTATCTTCCAAAATCCTAGATCTTGCCTACAGCTAGATATGTGTAAGTAAATATGCCAATGCCTTGATTTGCACACTGCTGAGAGAGTATTAGTTGCTGGTACTAAGCAGGTGAGAAACTGCAAGCTGCTTGCTTGAAGCTGGATCTAAGCTAACTGGCTTTGTAAATTCTGGCTTCAAGTAGTAAAAACATTCTCGAGACTGTAAAACAACAGGGTTGCAGCCACTGCGGTAGGGGCCACCTCTGTCAGGCCCATTCATATCTCTGGAAGAGCGATTCAGATGCTCAGAGTACACAAGACATGTTGTAGGGGTAGCGCAGATATGACACAGGGTCCTTTGGGAGATGAATGCCCTGCCAGGGCAGTGGCTAGAGGCTATGTGGTAAAAACTGGAAGTCAAAGGGCACTGAAGAGCTACATTTAAGTAGCACTGTATTTTAAACCTCAATGTGCTCATATATGTAGGTACTCAAACAGAAGATTATTGGTACAATGGTAATTTTATGTCCTTCCAAAGGCGTGCACCTTCTTGACTTTTAAACAAGCTCTCCTTAGGAAAAAGAAAAATACTAATAAATGGTTCGCACTAGAGTTGACATTAACATCTTTCTGACAGCCTCAGCAGTAAGCCTAGCTACAAAAGCAAGTGTTAAAACAAAACAAGCAATCCACACACAGGGAATAGGCCTGTTGGTGAAGAAGGCCCAAATATATTCAATAGTACATTATAGCTGCTAATTATTGTTGTAAAATACAACTGTTTAAAGCATAAAAATTATACGCTATCTCTCTTCTACACATTCTTGGAACTAGTTGTAATGATGTGAACTACTTAGATTTATTGTTATGCTTTGACGTTGAATACGCAATTTGTTCTTCATGCCAAGAAAAATAAATAAATCACTACAGGAACAATAATTTCTACAACAATATGATTAATAGTTTCAGATCTTTCACTTCATACAGAAGTTCTGCAATTATTTTCCTTCTTAATGAATGAGTTTCCTTCAGCAAGACAAAAGGCTAAGAAAAACAGTCACATCAGGTTTGTTTCTTCCAAAAATTATTTCTTCATTTTCATCTTTTCTTCCTCTGTATCTGTACTGGATCTCCTAATTGCCCTTCTCCCACACATTTCAAGAAGCATCGCTAATTTCTAAGTGGGAATGCAGAACAAATCAGGAATGGTTGGGCAAAGCTGAGACTCAAGTATTTCAACACTGTGTCACAGACGGGGAACTACAGAGGTAAGACCTGCCATGCAGAACACTTCATTTTTCCTGTGGACCTTTCCATGTTCACACAAACTATTGAACAGCCAGACCTTATATACATGCACTAACAGTAGCAGACAACTTCGCGTGACAAGGCAGGTACGGTTAATAGTTTCCCCTATCATTTCACAGCTATCTCTACTTCTTGTAGTGCGCTAGCGTTACTCCACAAATGAGAGAGATGTTCTTCCTTCTCACTGGCTCTCCATTATTTTTTCTAAGATTGAATTCAATGGTTACCTGCAATCTACATCACACAGGTAATTACACGGATCTGTTTTGGGGTGATGTTATCACTGGCTGTTACTGGCTGTGTCTCTCTCATTCTACTATCGATATCCACAGCCTTCTTGGGGCCAGCTTACCAAGCAAGCTATTTCTTAAAAAGCCTCATTTAAATTTTAAGTTGACGTAAAGATATTTTGTGAAATATGAGGATAAATCTCTTTTCCTTGCTCCCAGTTAAAGGGCTTTGACTATGTATTGCTCTCTGATTCGGGTATTGGACTCTGCCTCACCAAAGGTTGCTTCTGTCAGAAACTGGTTAACATTACATAGGGAGAGTACTTCATGGAACACTAACAATTTTTAAATTCTTTAGCGTCAAAAGTAAAAAGGGACTAGATTTCTTGACTATGCTTTTGGTTTAGTCCACCTGTATTACAATAGCAACCTGTATTATCGACAAATGCACAGCTTGAGCTAAGTATCACAAGTCAACTGACACTGAACTGTTATGTTATTGTTTTCAATTGGCCACTATCCATGTGTTAATGCTTGTACCACAGGAATTATCAGGTGATATCTATCACAAAGTGCATATATTTGTACCAATCACTACTAGAGCCAGGTTAGTTTGTGTACATGGACCAATTTCTTTTCATTCTGGTCCAAAGGACCAAGTGAATCAAAGCAAGAACAGCAGCTGCTCTGGGCACCATAATCCCACTGGGGAAGCTGAGGAATTCAGGGAAGAGAAAGACCCCACAGAAAACATTTAATACACAGAGAAACAGAAGACAGACAAATATGTAATGAACTCCCTTTACTTCCATCATTCAGACAGAACATACCTCCTTGGCCATGTCAGTGTATTTCTGCTTTTCTTTTGGATCTAGAACAGCCCACCAATCTGCCAAGATCTTGGTTGCGCCACGATTATCGAGGCGAGGGTGTTCTTTTCGCACAAGAGAGCGATGGCGTTTGCAGAACAAGAGAAACGCATTCATTGGTCGGCGAGCTCGTTGCTCTGAGGACTCGTCATCTTCGGTTTCATCAGCATCCTGCTCTAAACCGTCAACGCCAAGGAGCGGCACCTAGCAGAACCAAAAGGGAAGGGGTGTAACCTCAGTTATCCACACTTCTCACGGAGACTGAGAGCCTGTGTATGCCGTGTGTGAACGAGGGAGACGCACACGGGTACACACGGCTGTCTCCAAAGGCCATCCGTTCCATCCAGAAGACCTGCAGTTCCACATCAAATCTCCTCACCTGACGGTCCAATGTTCATTCATGCTCTCTTGCAAGACTTAAACTCCGACTTGCAAGTAGAGCAGATTTCTAAGCTGAGGAACATTCTCTAGTAACAGTCCTAAAGGGGCTGGAGGGAGGAGATCCTTCCTACAACCTAGAAATCATCTCAGTGGGATGAGGTGAGCAGAGCTACCTTGGACCTCAATCACCTGTCTTTGCAACTACAAAGTGCACAGAAAGGGAAGTGCATAGGTAATAGTTGTTCCCCATCTCCTGCCGTTCCTTACTCGGCCTATGAGCTGTGCTGCAGTGCAGCCACTGCACAGCTGCCCAGTCGGAGCCAGAGGGCAATTCTCAACAGAATACACTGGCAAAATATGCTCTCTCCGCTCACAGACCAGCCTATCACTCCTGCAAGGGATGCAGCACCACAAAAGACCGTACAAGATAGAAAACCATCTCCTACCTAACTGCAACAGGGCTGTTTTATGCCACATTGTGGCAAGCGACCTGTAAGGTCAATAGAAAGCACTCTCAGAGTATCAGGCTCCTCCTTGTTGCTCCTTATCCTTGTCAAGGTCACGCTTATCAGTGTGTGGCTCAAGGCAGTCTCCTCAGCACTGACCTCTCCCTTCCTGCCCTAGCAAAGCATCAAGGAGATGCAGATATGAACGTTATCCACATGACGGAAACATCACGTCTCCAAAACCCATTATCTCCCATTCCCACTTCTTGTTACAGAGGATGAGTCTAACTGTACATTTGTGAGGTGCCACATTGTGGGATCCTTATGAAAAAAGGGTAAGGCCAGCATCATTGAACAATACCAAAATACCAAGCATCAAACAAAAGAGAGACTATTCCACCTGTGCTCTCAATATTCTGAAGGATAAGTTGAATTTCACATACAAAGACAGTAAAAATTTTTGACAGCTTTTTCTTCTTTTTTCTCTTTTAATCTTTGTACTTTTTAATCCTTAAAAAAAGAAAGAAAAGCATTAGCTTGGTATGTCCTCAAAGCCACTAAAAGCTACTAAGCACAGGTTAACTTCATGTCTAACATGAACAATTAAAAAAACCCCGTGTCAAAAACCCGCCTTGAACAATCAAGACCAAGATATGTAACATGTTATCAAAACAACCTTGTTAAAACTCTTACTGTCTAACTCTAAAAAACAGAGCTTTGTCTGAGATTTTAAAAGCGTGGTTGACAGCTCACTTTTCTGTGTTATTTGCTATTTACCTTTACAGCCTTATGGCCACAGCATCACTTCTTTTCATTAGCTGTGTTTATTCACAAAAGAGAACAGAAAGAAGAAAACAAAACAAAAACACAGCTAGGGAGAATGTGACCCACCATTAACCTTCTACGGTCAAAGCATCCAATGAAGTCTACCTTATCAATATCTTCCTCTTCTTCTTCTTCCTCTTCCTCTTCAGAGAAGTCAAGGAGTTTCTTGGCAAGCAGGGGATGCCACTGAAGACACTTTCTTTTTGGTCGCTTCCCAGTTCCTTCTCCTTCTGTCGAATGATCCTTATTCCTACTACTGCCTTTCATTACTGTGACCTGTCATACAAAAATAGTTTTAAGTTCACAACCACCCCTCAAGCAAAAGTGACCATCATATAGATACTTAAACGAGTGACAAATATATGGGGCACTAATGAAAGACTCTCAGAATTTGGCAAGGTAATAGGTAGAGGTTTATTCCAGTTATCAACAACAACATGGAGTATCTTCTCCAATCTTAACATTCCCACCTAATGCCCAGATTAACTAGCAATATACAATTTAAGAGCACGAAGCAAGGACACTAGCCAGTCCAGCTCTCGAATGTGCTCCTGTCTGAAGGATAGCAGAAAAGCCCTCACAATTCACTGGTCAAGTAAGAGAGACTCCACAGCTCTTCCACACCTGTCCACTGTAGTTTTTCATATTTTGCCACTGAAAACGTCAGGATATCCCTCTTTTTAGCAGTGGAACATATCACCAGCCAGTCATCTGTTAATCATGCACTTACATATAGCAATGTTGATGCAGAACTCCATGACACTACGAGCTAGGTTTTCGCAAGTGCCATTAAAAGGTGCAATAGGGAAATCTGATTCCCTGCCTAAGAGAAGTGAATTTTAATACATGAATTTGAAGCAAACAAACAGAAGTAGTTACCCTGACACTTCCAAAGTACTCATCAACAAGAGCCCCTGCACAGCAAACAAAACAAACCATCCGCTGAACCAAGTGCATGCAGAAGCTAAGTAATACATATACACCTATCTTTTGTGTGTCCTCATCTAAAAAATACCCCAGAACTACCTCTCAGTGAAAATACATGCTTAACACACACCAAATACCAATTTGAGGGATGGCTTGAGGATCTGCTACCCAAGTAAGGGGCGAATAAATACATAAATAAATAAAACCAGCACATCCTGTGCGAGTACTGAAGCCCACAGGAAGCAAGCACTGCCGGCACACAGTCTGGTCCCTCGTAGCCTTCTGTTTACACTGTGTAATGTCAATGGATAATCCTGACAGGAGCATGGCTGGCTTTCCAAGAAAACAAAGCAAACATCAAAACAAACTGAAACTGGAGAGTGATTAGCCAGCTAGATCTTTATAAAGCTGACAAAAATTGGTCCCACAGGTGAAGCCAGCAGAAGCTCTGTTGTTGACTCTCAGGAGAAGTGCATGAAAAGAGGTCGAGGCTTGTAACTGCAAGGCCACATCGCCTTTTAGGATGCTGCCTTCTGGAAGATGCCTGCTAGAGCGCTAATGTTTCAGCCTACAGCGGTGGAAGGGAAAGCTGTGACACCTGCACTTACACCGGTTGCCCAAGCCCTGGTGCCATTGTCAGGGTGAATGCCTCACCAGAATCATCTCATGCAGCAGCACTCAGCAGCTACAGCCCATACAGCTCCAACCACGCTCCTACATATCCCACCCATTTAGCAGTCACTAATTCTGCTTTTGGCTGATCTCTTCCACGTGCGTTTCTTGTTGCTTAAGTCACTGGCATTTTGGCAATATGCCCTTGTTTGCACCAGAAATGTGTGTAAGCAGCTGCTTCCCCCGCAGACTCGAACAGCACAGAAGGCTGAAGGACCTTCAGAAACTGCTTGCTGGACGAAACAACCGAACCCTGAAGGAAGCAGGTTCAGAAATTTTAACCTACATTTAAAAATGGCATTTTCCTGGATGTGTATTAGATTTTGTTAGTACCTCCCCGCTCGTCAGCAGTACCTGGCCCCCACCATTTAAGGATGCCCTGTAACTTCGTAGCAGCTTGCCATTAAGCTCCACACTTTGCTGTCCCCATCACACCACTTCTACCTGGAGCACATTTAAACTTTGATTTCACAGCACCTGCTCCTCTGTTCATTTTCTGTAATCAGCTCCTCTCTTCAGCAAGTATTATATGGCACATAATCACGCACCACTTCACCTAAATCTTCATCCATGACTTGCAAAGCGAATCCAAATACACAGAAACAAACAACTTCGGCTTTGAAAGAACATTAAAGTGTGGAAAACCAAGCTGCAATCCAGTATCATGAAATGCAAGCTTGACATTGTTTCTGTCCCACCATGACTTCCGCTGTGTACCACACTGCACTGTGCTCCCCATCTGTCTCTCTTCCTAAAGTGCTGAACCATCATTTGCTTTTGTTTGGTGTATTTTCGGACACAAATTGACAAAGTAGCTGAGTTACTGTTCGAGCAGGAACTTCAGCTCCTGTGGGCAGAAGAGATTCATTAAGTCTAAGAGTTTGTTAAATGACAGAGATCTGCCTATTACTGTAGTCAACAAAGTACGTGGCCTATTTCTGAGCAGGATAAACGCACTACAAGTACAACGGGGGGTCAGCTACTCCAGCCCTTACCACTGACTTATCTAGGTGAGCTAATCGTATGGTTTCTGCCTACAGTCAGTCCTGAGAAAGATGAGTATTACCGGTAGCCTTCTACCTTGTTAGTGTGAAACAAAATTAATGTTTGAAGAGTGCTCCATGATCCTCCTTTACAAAGCTCAGCTGAAGCCTCAGTGCTATTTCAACAACAGCATCGCCTTTAGCTGGCACCTCTCTGCCTGCTGCCCTTCGAAAGATGAGCAAGAGAAAACTTCACAGGACTTAAGTGATCCCTCGGTGTATTTTACACATGTTCTCCATCATCCCTGAGGCCCTGCCTATGCTCTACGCTGAGTTCGGCAAGGCAGCACAGACCCTAGGCACCGGTCACCTTGCAAATCCCAAAGGCGCTCTCAGTATGTTACGTCTTTTTACTACTGCCCAGCTCACAAATAATTTTTGTTTTCCATGCATGAAGGCTAGGTATTGAACACCCAGTTACCCCTAAAATAAATTAACCAAAGCTCACTGCGCATTAGTGCCAAAATAGAAACGTATGCTCGGCTCCAGGAATTCAAGTGATGTTCATTAGGTTGTTTTCTTAAACTGCGAACCATTTTACCCTAGTCCTCACCCTGAAGCAGCAGTTTTACTATAAAGAGGCTTTTTAGCAAGATGGGTGGTTACCCTATCAGCTGAACAAGCATTTAAGAGATCCAAGACACAGAGTAAGTCAGATCCTGGCTGTTATACAGGCACCATGTACTACAGAAAGACACACAGTCGCTCTTCACTTCCACTTTGGAGTGAATCTCTGCAACAGTCAACAACAAAAATCCTCCTGATTTAATCCCACTGATGGAAGGACTGAGGCCACTGACTTCAAACTTTACTTTTACAGCATGGCCTGGAAGCCACCCGCCCCTTAAGTATGTCAAGCTATATACTCTATCCCCTATGCCCTCTCTTCTTTCCTATAAAATAGGGGGTCATTCATAACATGAACAGATAAACGATTTCAGCCCCTATTTTTTAATACTTCTGTGTTTCCAAACCCTTTTTCCCCATTTTTGCTTATTCAAGTTCTCGTAAGTTTTGACCTACATTTCACAGGCTTTTTTGTTGTTCACTTTTTGCTGATGCCTTTCTTTCTCAGTCAAATGTAGGATTGGCATAATGAAAAATGTTCTAATTCTCCATTACATCGCATGGGACTTTTCCTCTTAAAAAAATGGATGCTGACATAGTGTGATGAACTTGTTTTCCTTTGGATTGCTTCATCTTCCATATTACTACCCCCACAGTTCATGGGCATTTCTGTCATAATTGTTGACATATTCACATACAATTATATCATTATGAGAGAAGCTGTCCCATAAAAAAAAAAATCCAGTCAAATGCAAAACACAGCTAACATGGACACCTTCATTCATTTTTTTTTTGTATGGAAGATTTTGGCAAGACTTAGCGTAACTACTTAGTCAAGACACTCCATGGTCAAGTGAATGCACATATGATTAAATGACAGTGCAAGTTTTACTGGCATTATTTACTTGTTGAATGGCAAAACATCAATGGAATCCATTTAGTGGGCTCTTCAGATTCTACTTATTTATCTGATTTTTTTCCCCTCGACACATCATCAATAGCATGTTAGTTCCTTGTTTTGTATGGGAGACGGGAAGCTGGCAGACGGAAGCAAGGAAAAATACCAACTCCTTCTCTCCCTCTCAGGGATCCCTGAGTGCTGGCAAGCATCCCTACCAGCAAGCTTTTGAAAAGAGAGCTGGACTTGGACCCTACAAGAACTGAAGCATGCGTTTAAGCTTGGCAATTAAATAGTTCCACAGAAAGTCACAGAACAAGTCATGGGCAGTCTTTGCAGGATTTGGGGCTTAAAAGTATAGAAGATACATAACACCCAAAGTGCAAAGTCTGCAGTAACTGGAATTTATGAACCATATCACAAAAAAAATGTAATTTCTTCTACAGTATCAGTAAAAATATCATTTATCTTTTAAGGCAGATGTAATGGCTTTTAGAAGTTAGCAAGAGGAAAAACAATTAAAACCAGCTAACAAGATTTCACAAGATATTTCTCAGCTTAAGGATGACAAAAAAAAGTGACAGACACTAGAGAGAAAGTAGGAATATTCCAACAAGACAAGACAAAAGTATGGACAGCTTTGCTTAAAATAAGCTACATATGCTTATAACATCACCAGAGGATACCTGTCAAGGCTGACATTCATGATCCACTGACAGCAAGAGATACCTTCAGGGTGATGTTCTACACCTACCTTCAGTGCAGATACAGATCAAACGTTACAGAGATATCACACCAGTAAAAAAATTTAACTTTTTTTTTTCTTTTTCATATTTTTTGTTTGCTGGCTGTATTATTTCCTTTCTGGTCCTGGAAACATTAATCAAAGAATCACAGTTTTCTTGGATGTCTTATAAACATGTATACCTAATAGGGCTTCAGAGAAAAAAATTAAGATTCCTTAAGAAGAGAGATGCATGGTGGCAGGGAGCGGGGGAGAAGAATTATTGTTTAGCTTTTTATGGCATACATTTCTATTTCAATTACACAACTGTATGCAAGCCTTCATTTTTTAAGTGTTCATTAACAACAGGTGTTTGATTACCTTCATTAAGTTTTGTTTTCCTCCTACCTTCCTCTGTTATTTACAAAACCTGATACAGA